ACATCTGCCAGGAAGCTGCACAAAGCCTATTTGTTTGGACCTTGTCTCCAGAAGCCCTGACTTGAAAAGCATCTGCTGCTTCTCCCCTCCCGGCTCCTCCCCCTGGGAGGAACCGAGGAATTGATGTTATCAGGAGGAAAAGCGAGCCAAACGCCAGGAAACTTCGAAATGGCTCCCAACAGACCTGTGATGGGAGAGATGTGCCCCCTCCCTGCTCCTGTAGAACTGGGCCCCTGAGCCACAATGGTCTGCTTTGTGTGAGGCGCCCTTACTCTTCTGCCCCCAACCTCCACTCTCCTGTGTCCTTTGTAGGTACATTCGCTGCCAGAAAGAGGCGGGGAAGAGCTTTGAGCGACATAAATTAAAGAGACAGGATGCAGATGCCTGGTAAAGTTTCAGCCCCCACCCCTAGAGCCTCAGATAGCCTGCCTGCCTTGTTCCTCTGTGCCACTCCCCAGGGGAGCAGTTCAGGGCCAAGGAATTCTGACACGGGTGGCAGGACCAGCCTGGGGCCTTCTGCAAGTCTACCTTGAAGGAAGACGTTGCTTCAGCACCCAAGTCCCTGGGGCCTTGAAATGCTTAGGCTTGGTGTCCTCAGTGAGCCTTTGCCTGCTCCCCGTAGCACATCCCCCAGTACTAGCTTCCAGAACCTGCTGTCTTGGCTGCCTGGTTGCTCTTGCTTCCTGCTGGTGCCTTCCCTGCCCCTAGCTTCCCCTGTGCCCTGGAAATCCTGGGGTTCAGGCTGTGCTAATGCTGGGGCTTGGCCTCTCTTCCCCCTCCCCACCAGGACTCTCTATAAGATCCTGGACAGCTGCAAACAGCTGACTTTAGCCCAGGGGGCAGGTGAGGAGGACCCAGGTGGCATGGTGACTATCATCACAGGCCTTCCACTGGACAACCCCAGCGTGCTCTCAGGCCCTATGCAGGTGAGTTATGGGGTGAGGTGAGGGGACTGTAATGGGGACGAGGTACCGGAGTAGGCTCCCTCAGACCTGCCAGGCAGTTGCCCTTTCCCTCTTCCATCACCGCTTACCCTCAAAGACTTGTCCCATAGTTCAGGAAGGGACTCACCCATCTCTCTCTTCCCCCCTTCCACAGGCAGCCCTGCAGGCCGCTGCACATGCCAGTGTGGACATCAAGAATGTTCTGGACTTCTACAAGCAGTGGAAGGAGATTGGTTGAGACTGACTCCCAAGCCCTGCAGTGGGGCTGACTCCAGATCTCTCCTGCCCTCCCTGGCTGCCAGGACCACCACCTGTAGTCACCCCACCACACAGACTCACGCACGCACTCAGGAAGGAAGCCCAGCTGCACACAGGCTGAGGGAGGGCCCAGGAGCCAGTTGGGAGGGTAGGGTCCCCCTGTTGCCAAGATGACGTCAGGAAAGTGAGGAAAGTATTTGGAGCAGGAGAGGCCTGTGGGCCCCTAGTCAGCCTTCCTGCCTCAACCCTCCTGCTGTCCCTAGAGGCAGGTGGCAGGCATGGGTATCTGCATTTCATCGGAGTGATTCCTGGACCTCTGAGGGGAAGGGACGGCAGAAGAGGCCCTTCCTCACCCAAGACATGGGTTGGTTGGGGTTAGGAGTTTGGACCCTCCAGCCCTGGGAAAAGAGTGGGTAACACCAGACATCTGGGTGGTTTTCTGCAGGCCCTTCCCCTCCTCAAAGACTACCCATTCTCATTTCCCCTTGTGGGCTGGGCAGCTCTGGAGCTTTGGAGACTCTTAAAGAAGAGGGGCCAGGGGCTGGCTGCACTGATAGCAGGACCCGGGCTCGCATCCCCTCCTCGTGCTGCTGGGGCTGTACACCCAGTTGCCCCACTTCTGCTTTCCGTCTCCCTCTGTCTAGCTTCCAGGGCAGGGAGCAGGCCTCGCCAACGGCTGCAGGCAGTTTGGCCTATATGCCAGTGAGGGGTCTTGTGCCCACCAGCCCCACAGTCACCATGCTTTGTGCTCTTGGTTGCTGTGCTGTGACAGAGTGGGATGCCAGTAAGAGGAGGGGGGTGCAGTCTGAGGCCACCACCCCCTTGACTAGAGAAAGGAGAGGCTGCCTGAAGCTGCCCGGTCAGGGGCCCTAATCCTGATGGGCTTCCTACTTCGCCCTTCCCCAGGGCTGAAGGCCTGGTGGGGCTGAGTATGGGGCTAGCTTTTGGAATGTGGAGGTGACTGTGGGAGCAGAGATCATGAATAGCTCAGGACAATGAATGGAGCAGCAAGAGCTGGGCTGTGGGTGGGTGAGTTTGGCCAGGATTGCCTTGGCCCCTCCCCCTGGGTGTGGAGGGTGGGGGATCTCAGCTCAGCTGTCCCTCACCCCAGAGCTAGCCCAGCTTCCCAGGCTGTTCTCAGAGGAGAGCAGGTTTCCTGCCTCCTTCCTCCAAGATAGCAAGTTTGGGACAACCTGGGGGGAATAGGGTCACCCCCACTCCCAATCCCTGACAGACTGAGACTAAAGCATCACTTAATAAAGACCCCTGAAGCCCACTCCCTGTCTCCTGGTGTGTTTCTGTACAGGTTTATTGGGGTGTTGGAGATGGCATGCTAAAAGTGGCATTTTGGAAAGGTTTCTTCAAGGTGGACCCATTGAAGCAAGAAGTTGGCAATTCCAGCAAAAGCTCCTGACATAGTTTTGTGACATTGTCAAGTTCATTGATCCTGTGAACTGAGCTGGTGCCTTTGTAAGGGTGATGGGTGAAAACAGTATTTAGAAGGACACAGCACTGCCTGGGGCTGGTTTGCTGTCTCCAGCTGGGTCCTATGAATCAGAGAAACTCTTCCTCAAGGGGAAAGGGGGATGAGCCTTGAAACCAAACTCATCCCTGTCCATCTGCAAGGGCTGGCACCTCAAGTGTGTCTGGGGAGGAAGCCTGGCGAATCCCTCATAGTTGAACCAACATTTGCTAAAGGCATTTACTCTGGACTCCGCCCAGCACCAGGTGCTCAGAGGCAGTGAAGCACAGTGAGGTGGTTTCTGATGCCCAAGGCCAGGATTTGGAATTCTCTGCCCAGCCTATGGCAGAGCCCACCCTCAACTCCTAGGAGAACTGGAACGGTGGCGCAGCCAGGTCTGAGGGCGCCTGCATCACACTGGCCGCATCCTGGCTAGGCCTCCAGCCTATTCTGGCCAGTGTGATCTCAGTGGGTTTGAGTCAGGCTGGAGGGGCTGGCTGTGTGCAGAAGGCCCAGTGAGCTGCCTGCTAATGGGATTGGGCCACCCTGCGCTGCTCCCTGGAGGCCGGACAAGGCTGGGATTGTTCCCTGGCTCCCCTTTGTCTCCCACTCCCTGACCAGGCCTGGCCTGCTGGCCTGCCACTCTCCTCTCCCTCCCGTTGGCCTGGCTGGCAGGAGCACCCCAGGTTTGCTGACCCACCTGCTTAGGAGCGCCAATCTCTGGGTAAGGAAGCTCACCTGGGACTGTCACCCATTCTGGGGAATTGGGGCCTGCTCCAGCCCCCTCCCTCATCTCCAAGGCTACAGCACAGACTCTGTCTACATAGACCTCTAAACCCTGAGGGAAGCTAGAGCCCAGCCAGCATCTTGCTTTCCCACCCCTCCCCCCGGCACTGGGCAGCACTCTGGATGGGTCAGACCACCCCCATCCTGCTCCTGGGCAAGGGATACCTTTGCGGCCTCTATCTTAAAGCTCAGCTGGAGTGCAGGGACTAGGGACCAGGTTTATCTTGTGCCCAGGCAGCTCAGGGGAAGAGAGCCCCCAAACTGTTGGGGAACAGACTGGTGGTGTGAGGCCCACTGTGCACCAGTGAAGCTGGCGGAAGGAAGAGGGGCGGGGCTAGGCTGTTGAGTTGCTGGAAAGTTTTGGTCCTGGGAGATGGGGGAGTGTCCTATTCCCCCTCCTCCTGGGGCGGTTCCACCCGCCTAGCTGGCCCAGCCCCACCACTTGTGCCAAGGAATGTGCCTGGGAGAGGCGGTCTGAGGCGGGCGGGGCAGCAGAGCCACGGCCACCCGGAGGCAGCGCACAGGTCTGGGGCTGAGGGGCATGGGGCTCAGGAGGGACAGGGACCCCAACTGTTCTCAGGGGCACAAGTGTCCTCAGAGAAGAGCCAGGCATCTCCCTAATTCCCTGCCCTGGCATCTGGCCTCTCCAAGAACCCTCGTGCTCAGCCTACACACTGTGGGCCAAGGGCTTTCGGTGGTGGTGGGTGGCTTGGGGTCTCTCCGGGCTGACCTCCATGAGTTAGGCTTCTCCTGAGAGAGCTGGAGGGCTGGAGGCAGCACTCCAGCTGGGGAGAGGCCTCTCCACTCTGTGCTGGGTTAAGGCTGACCAGACCCCCAGTTGGGTAGTGAATGCCCGAGGCCAGGATGGGGAGGGGTCAGGGAAGCTGGGCCAGCCTCCCCTGGCCTGAAGGAGCAGCTGGGAGGCCAGCTACCATCCACACGCACGTGAGCACAGCCTACCCTGGGACTCAGTGACCAGGCCCAGCCTGGACCCAGGTGATAAGGAGTCTGTGGATGGGAGCAGATACCTGATTTCCTCCCCCCCACCCTCTGTCTCTAGGTCAACGTGGAGGTGCCAGGCAATGCTCAGTCTCAAGCTACCCCAACTCCTCCGAGTCCACCAGGTCCCCCGGGTGAGGGGCTACACTGGCCAACTCCTACTCCCTAGGGACTGGGGCTGAGGTTCTCTTTGAGCAATGAAGGAAGTTCCTCCTGCAAGCTAACTCTCAGGCTCCCATTCCAGTGCGAGACTCTTAGCTCTCTAAGGAACAGGCTGTGACCACAGGCCCAGAATGCTCCTTCAGAGTCCGCTTCCCCAGGGCGCCCTGTCTGCCACCAACTCCCCCATCCTATCTTGTCCCCTTTCCCTGGCTCTCCTGTTTCTCATCTGCTTTCTGGTATTGGAACATGTGATAAGAGGGAAGTCGGATTTAGTTTGGCTTTGGGGCCACTGTGACCTCCAGCCCATTCTCTTCAGTCCTGCTTCCCCAGCTCTCCCACGGAGAGGATCCAGCATAGTGCCCCCCCACCCCCACCCCCAGGTGTTCTGGGAAGACGGCATCATGTCTGGCTACCGCCGCCCCACCAGCTCGGCCCTGGACTGTGTCCTCAGCTCCTTCCAGATGACCAACGAGACTGTCAACATCTGGACTCACTTCCTGCCCACCTGGTGAGGCGGGCTGTCCCCGGCCTCGCGCTCTGAGGGGTCCCCGGGCGGGCGGCGGGCGGGA